CGGCAGACCTCTGTGTGAATGCGACTGCTTGTTTTTGGCTAATGCTCCTGTCCGTTTTTTTGTTTTGTTTTTCCCAAAAAAGATGTTGGGGGTTAGAAGTATGGATGTGGGTGGGAGACGTGGGGATTGGGTGGGAGACGTGTGGATTTGGGGGGGAGGCTGTGCTTATTTGAGTTTTTTATCCTTTCAGAAAACGAGTTGGCAGACCTCCGCCTGCCCTCTTCTGTGTGTCACCGACTGCTTGTTTTCGGCCGGCTAACGGTCCTGTTTGTCTTTTGGTTTTTCCCAAAAAAGCTCAGTCGGAGGAAACGTGTGGGTGGGAGGCTGTGCTTTTTTTTAGTGTTTTATTTATCCTTTCAGAAAACGTGTCTGCAGACCTCCATCTGCCCTCTTCTGTGTGTTGCCGACTGCTTATTTTTGGCTAACGCTCCTGTTCATTTCTTTGTTTTTTTTTTTGTTTTTCCTCTTGCTACGTGTCTGATCTGGACCCGGGGCTGTGCAGAGTCGGAGCTGGCTGCGGTGGGCAGCAGGAGGATGCTTTTCCCCGGGTGTGGAGGCATCATTCCCGGCCCCCAGGAGGTGCCCTCGTCCCGGGGCCCCACGGATGTTTCAGACCTGGGCCTTGGCCTTCAGTCCCTGCGCCTGTCGGGCTGGGACCGGCCCTGGAGCAGCCAGGAAACGGACACGCACACCCCCCCGTCCCAGGTCCAGACCAGCTCCCCCTCCAGTGAGTGCTAAACCTCTTATTTTGGTTGTTTTTTTACCTTCCATTTACTTGGTTTTAATCACAATTCAAAGCAGAACTTCTAGCTACAGTGGGGGAAATAAGTATTTGACCCCTTGCTGATTTTGCAGGTTTGCCCACTTACAAAGAATGCTTGTTTTTCCTCATCAGATGGTTATCAATTTTTATGAATTCATATGATGTGATTTTCTGGAAATTTCTTTGGGATTCTGTCTTTTTTTGCTCCAAGTTAGTGCTACTAGTAAATGTAATAGTACTACATTTTTGCAAACGTCCTTGTTGGTCTAAGCTCTAACTAAAAGGCTCCTACTCCTATCACTACTACTTATTTTAGACCTGTATATATATTTATCTATATCCCATGTGGAATTGTGTGTGTATATACAGTGGGGGAAATAAGTATTTGAACCCTTGTTGATTTTGCAGGTTTGCCCACTTACAAAGAATGTTTATTTTTCCTCATCAGATGGTTATCAATTTTTATAAATTTATATGATATGGAATTTTCTTTGGGATTCTGTCTTTCACTGTTAGAATGTACATATGATTAAAGTTATAGATCGTTGCATTCTTTGTAAGTGGGCAAATACTTATTTCCCCTACTGTATTTACTTGATTTTAATCAGAATTCAAAGCAGAACTGCTAGCTAAGTGGTTGTAAGATACCGGGCTGGTTGAGGGGGAGCTTGTTCCCATGACCCAGTTTGTTTGTACATAACTGATTACAAAACCTTTAGGGCTTTTTCTTTTTATGTTGATCCTCTCATTAATGTGGAAATGAGTTGGATGGTTAGCGGCCGTTTGTCTGGATGTGACACCGGGGAGGATGATGTGGCAGTTTTGCTTTGCTGCATCTTACTAAGCAGTCAGGCCAAAACTAGCCAGTTTAAGCTACTTTCATTTTCTCAAACCAGCCAAACGGAAAGCTCTTAACCTGTTTTCTTTATTGCTTACATGGACTCTAAAAGAAAACTACAGATAGGTCTTGCACTTCTCCACTGAGGTCTGACACCATGATGGTTCATCCACTGATTATAAAGATGCCTCGTGTGTTCTGACCCCATTTGTGGCACCTTATTTTATATATTTTTTTCTAAATGTCCAGACCGTCCCAGTGGAACTTCATTTCTAAGCTGGGCCCGAAACAAAGTGGGACAGAGCTTTGAATGCAGCCTGCAGCTGAATAATCCCCTCAGAGCCCCATGTTCACTGTTACAACCCATCCAGCACATGCCTGCCTCTGATTGGCCGACTGACACTAGTCAGGCAAAAGTTTAGCTATTAAGAAATGACCTGAGTCACTGGATTAACGTATATATTAGCATGCAGTGTCTGTGGGAAGCTTTACATTTTTATTTCCTGGAAAAAGTAGCTGTAAAGTCACAGATTCCTAATGTAAAACTGGAAAAGCTCCAGCTTCCTCTTAATGGACTCAAGCATTTTTTGGTTGTTGGTGGCCAGCTGGCTCATTGATGCCCTCCACGAACTCGCCTTTCAGCTCACTAAATCAATGTCGGGCTGTAAATTCAGCACAAACTATTTTTGTTTTGCTGACTCAGTGATTTAAGAAATGCCTATTTGTTAAGATGGGCAACTTTAAAATACTTGTCCTGGTTATGTGACTTGTTGTTGAACAGATTAATCCAGTTGTTTGGGCCCAGACATGTTTTTCTGTTTATCAAACCAAATATCCCCTAAACTGGAATTGTCACTAAATCAATGTCGGACTGTAAATTCAGCACAAACTATTTTTGTTTTGCTGACTCAGTGATTTAAAAAAAACAAAAAAAAAACATTTAAGATGGGCAACTTTAAAATGCTTGTCCTGGTTATGTGACTTGTTGGTGGACAGATGAATCCAGTTATGTGGGCTCAGACATGTTATTCTGTTGTGTTTATCAAGCCAAGTATCACCTAAACTGGAATTATCTTCTCTGACCAGTGTTTCTCCTCTGTACAGCTTATTGTCATAGTGAGGATAAATGTAATATTGTACAGTGGGGGAAATAAGCATTTGACCCCTTGCTGATTTTGCAGGTTTGCCCACTTGCAAAGAATGCTTATTTTTCCTCATCAGATGGTTATCAATTTTTATAAATTCATATGATGTGATTTTCTGGAATTTTCTTTGGGATTCTGTCTTTCACTGTTAGAATGTACATATGATTAAAATTATAGATCGTTGCATTCTTTGTAAGTGGGCAAACCAGCAAAATCAGCAAGGGGTCAAATACTTATTTCCCCCACTGTGTCTACTCTGTAAGTTGCTTTGGATAAAAGCGTCTGCCAAATGCATAAACATAAACAAACATAATTTTCCTCTCCAGTGCTAGGTATCCTGAACAGTCCCTTCAGCAGCATCCTGGGGAAACCTCAGGGCTACTTGCCCCACGAGTCCATGAGCACAAACTCACCTTTCAGCTCACTAAATCAGTGATTTTAAAAAAAAAAAAAAAAAAAAAAAAAAAAAAACATTTAAGATGGGCAACTTTAAAACACTCGTCCTGGTTATGTGACTTGTTGGTGGACAAATTAATCCAATTCTGTGGGCTCACATGTTTTTCTGTTGTGTTTATCAAACCAAACATCTCATAAACTGGAATTATTAAACCAATGTCAGACTGTAAATTCAGCACAAACTATTTTTTGTTTTGCTGACTCAGTGATTTTAAAAAAGCAAAAAAACAAACATTTAAGATGGGCAACTTTAAAATACTCGTTCTGGTATGTGACTTGTTGGTGGACAGATGAATCCAGTTCTGTGGGCTCACGCATGTTTTTCTGTTTTTATCAAACCAAATATCTCCTAAACTGAAACTATCTTCTCCAGTGCTAGGCATCCTGAACAGTCCCTTCAGTAGCATCCTGGGGAAGCCTCAGGGCTACCTGCCCCACGAGTCCATGAGCATGACGGCGGACTTCCTGGAGAAGTTCCCGGGCATGGCCCGCATGGCCACCCGCCTGGACTCCAGCTCCTTCCTGGACTCCCGCTCCAGCAGCCCCGAGGACTCTGAGACCAGCGGGTTCAGCTCCGGGTCCGACCACCTCTGCGACATGCTGGTAAAAAGACGGCTTTTACTCTTTTTCACCTGTTTTTGTCAAGTGGGAAAAGGTCACAAGCAAGTTATGGTGCAAATTTTGCCATCTTAACTCATTGACTGGCAGCCATTTTCAGAACAGAGTCCCATACTGCCAGTTTTTTTTTTGAGCATTTTGACTGATTTTTCAAGACCCGCAGAATAGTTTGTGCTATGACTATGTAAACACCGAACACACCAAAAGAAAGAGTAGACTCTCAGAATAAGGTTAATTGCCAAGTAAGTTTTTAGACTTACAAGGAATTTGCCTTGGTGTTTGGAAACGCACTCTTTTGCTCTCCTACAAAGTATGTACAGGAAGTGTTTAGTTTCTCAAATGGCAGATTGACGTCAGTAGTCACTTATTTTTCTCAGTTAACCCTTTAAAGCCTGATCCAAGAATAAAACAAAACAGAAAATGACTTTTTTTGTTTGAAGTCTTTATTTCGCCTTTTACCAAAATATGTAAAAGGAAAAAACAAATGCATTTTTAATAATTTATTACTATGCGATAAGTCAAGATTATTTTTCGTGTAGTCTTCTGCCCCCTGTTATCAGGTGTATCTGATTGTGTACAATAGGATTTTGAGCAAAGTTTTTACCATTAAATTATGCAAAAGGTGTCAGATGCAAAACATTTCAGAAACCGTATAAATCAAATATGACACATTTGGCATTACAGGGTTAAGCGTATGTCTTCCTAAAGATTCACTGACTTCTCAGTGGTTTAGTTTTAATAGGATCCCCATTGGCTGCCAAATAAATGGCCACTAGTCTTCCTGGGGTCCTCACATGAAGAAATTATATTACATTATAAACGATCATAAAAAATTGAAATAAAAATCAGTGGGAAATAATAAAAATATAAACAAGAGTAAAACTATACAACATATACAGGACTGTCTCAGAAAATTAGAATATTGTGATAAAGTTCTTTATTTTCTGTAATGCAATTAAAAATCATGAAATGTCATACAGTCTGGATTCATTACAAATCAACTGAAATATCGCAAGCCTTTTATTGTTTTAATGTCGCTGATTATGGCGTACAGCTGAAGAAAAATAAAAAATCAGATATTCTAATATTTTGAGATAGGATATTTGGGTTTCTTAAGCTGTAAGCCATAATTGGCGATATTAAAACGATAAAGGCTTGCGATATTTCAGTTGATTTGTAATGAATCCAGAACGTATGACATTTCATGTTTTTTAATTGCATTACAGAAAATAAAGAACTTTATCACAATATTCTAAGTTTCTGAGACAGTCCTGTATACACAGGTCAGTTCATCTTATTATTGGTGTTCTCCTTAACCCCTAAGTGTCTGCACCTCTCTTTCCTCTTTAGTCCACCTTGCGGATTTCCCCCCCCCTGCCCTACCTGGCGTCGAACATGCAGAAGGACCTCCTGCGCCTGGGTTCCCGGCTGGACCCGCAGGACTCCAGCTCCCCGCTGACCCCCCCCCTCCAGCGCCAGCCCCGGGTCCTCCTCCCTGTCCCGCCGCTGGCGAGCCGGCTCCCCCTGGCCCGGGTCCGACGCGCTGGACCCGGAGGAGACGTTCAGCATCGAGAGGGAGGCGCGCCTGCACAGGCAGGCCGCAGGTAGGAGAACGGGCGCCATTAGATAGAGGCCTATTGGTGCCATTAGATAGAGGCCTATTGG